AGCCAGGGACCTGCTGGAGCGGGGCCAGAGGAGCCCCAGCAATGCCCCGAGGGGGGAACGCCTCTGCTGGGAGCCCAGCAGGAGAGAGTTGGGCTGGGGCAGCTGAGAGGAGAAGGCTCCAGCTGGGGAGACCTGCTGGGGGCATGTCAGCATTTCAAGGGGGCCTCTAAGAAAGACAGGGATGGACTTTTTATCAAGGCTTGTTGTGACAGGACAAGAGGTGATGGTTTTAAACCAAAAGAGGGGAGATTAAGACTTCTTTCTAGAAGGAAGAAATTTTTGACACTGAGGGTGGTAAAACACTGGCCCAGGTTGCCCAGAAAGGTGGTAGAAGCCCCATCCCTGGAACCATTCCAGGCTGGGTTGGCTGGGGCTCTGAGCAACCTGCTTTAGTTGAAGCTGTCCCTGCTGACTGCGTGGGGGTTGGACTAGGTGACCTTGAAAGGCCTCTTCCAAGCCCAAACATTCTATGATTTTGTTTTTGCTGAATGTTGACAGAACCTCTTGTGAGGTTTTCCTTGAAGGTCTTGCCACAACAGTCTATGCAAAAGTTGTAGCATACACCAGTTCTATGGCACCTGACACAGCTTAGTCTGACCACGTAGCCATTTGCATAAACAAGTCCTGTCAGTTTACCTTTGAAGGGCACAGAAAATGAGCTACTTGTGTGTACTGGGTAATGCAGTTTTCCTCTGAAACTCATCACTGTCAGTTGATGCTGTGTTTGCTTTAAAAACAAACAAAAAATGACAAAACAACCCCCAAAATGGTCACTTGTTAAACATCAAATGTAGAAATGTTACCCTCTGAGATTATTAACTTACCTTTTCTCAGGGTCATGGTGGAGGGTGGATGGGCAATGAAAAATTAATTCCAATTTTTGCCTTAATTGCCTGTTTGACTTCTGTAATTCAGATTTTTTTTTTCTCCAAATTATTTTGGTTATTTCTCAACCTGACCAACGTGCACAGATGTAACCATTACAAGTTAACAGAGTCCTGGATTAGTTCAGGGTTTCTTATGCTAGAACCAGCATTTTGTACATGTTACAGATTTTTGTAATATTTGTGGGCTTCTGCTTTGGTTGTTCTCCACAGGTCATTTCTCCTGAGTTTGCTGCCTACCATCCTGATCATTGGTTCCTTACTGTACACGTTAAGAAGAGGACCTGCAGGCTTGGGCCGAGCAGGGCGTGGAATGGGTGGACTCTTCAGTGTGGGTGAAACCACAGCCAAAGTCCTTAAGGATGAAATAGATGTTAAATTCAAAGATGTAGCTGGCTGTGAAGAGGCCAAATTAGAGATAATGGAGTTTGTTAACTTCCTGAAAAATCCCAAACAATATGAAGATCTGGGAGCAAAAATTCCAAAGGTAAGGAAGAGATGACTTAGCAGGCAAAGACTTGGTTCTTTTGGTAGTCCTGAGTATCCTAAATTGTACTAGGAATGTTTATGTGTGCAGTGCTTTCCAGCTTCTTTCTTCTCACAGGAAAATGATAAGTAGGTGTGAAGTGCCAACAGTGTCACTGTGGTGCCAGGAGATTTGCCTCATGGAATGTGTCATCTGTTCACGCGGGCCAGTGGTGCATGAGATGCATGTGCACCTCCACTGTCCTTTGTAACTGACACAGAGTTGTTGTTTGGCTCTGTTCTCTTGGGAGCTTTTTCCTTTTGCTGGTTTAAATGGGAGGTGAATCTTTAGCTGGGTTCCTTGCACAGTTTTGATCGTGGTTGGAAGAAGAGCCAGTGGGCACAACATTGTAACAGGCAGATCTTTTAAGTAAGGCGTTTCTTAGGGTTAGATTGTTTTCTTCATGAGGAAAATATCCCTGTTTCTCTTGCAGGGGGCAATTCTGACAGGTCCTCCAGGTACTGGGAAAACACTTCTAGCTAAAGCTACAGCTGGAGAAGCCAATGTACCATTTATCACAGTCAACGGCTCCGAGTTCTTGGAGATGTTTGTTGGTGTGGGTCCAGCTCGAGTAAGTCTTTGGTCTTGCTTTATTGTTTCTGTGTTGGTTGTTGAGAGGATGTTGTCAAGTCTGGGATGCAAACAGTCTGATTATAGCTGAAGTTCTTTCACTTATGAAATTTATTTCCAAGTGATGCCAGATGTGTGATTCTTGTTCAGACAAGCATTTACCTTTCCTAAAAGGAACTAATGCAGTTGAGTGGCTGGCTGCAGGCCATCAGGACCTTGAGAAAGCAGAACTGAACTTGATCTCTGCTCTGAAGTACATTTATTAGCTGAGTCAGGAGTACACAGCTCATTTGACAACTGCTCTGGGAGTGTCTCCTCCTGCTCTGAATTGTTGCTGTTCCTTTGAAGAACTTTCCTCTCTTTGTGGTGTCAAACTCACCAATAAGAGTCCAAGGGTAATAGAGCTAATAATTGATTTCTGGAGATCAGGTGATTTAAATAAGCAAATATATATTCCTAACTTTTTTGGTGCTTCTTTGCCATAACTTTCTTAATAGCTCATCAAAAATATATTAAGTGTAGGGAGTTAACTCTGTTCTGGTTCACCCATTTTTCTTTTAACTGTTTCATTTATTACAACTGCATTTCAGACATTCAGTTTTAAATCTGTTTTCTCCTGTCTAGGAAGGAAGGACACTTAAATCTACAAAAAAATATTCTATAAACAAGTTACTGATAATATTTTACAAATGAGGCAGGTAAAAAAAAAAATAAGGTTCCTCATTGTGTCCAAAATTTATAGTCCATTTTCAGCAGCTCATATCTTCATTAAACTCCAACCACCTTCAGCCTGAAAAGGTATACTGCAAGGTGACACCCTCCTGGAAAACTAAGATTTCTTTGCCACAAATTCTGCAAACAGACCTAAGGAGCTGTACTGTGGTTTTTACTCACATTTAAAAATGAATTCTGCTAGCATGAAATGGAAAATGCTTTAGGGTCTTGATTTGAAGTTGACATTTGCCAGGGAATGGCTCTTGCCAGTTTTATGTCCTGTGGAAATTCACAGGAAAACTCATTTTGACCAAGTTGTGTAAAACCCTGAAAAATGGCAATTTTCATATGTCTAGGTGTGTAAGAGGTTAGCAGATAAACTTGGCAAGACTGGGTCCTTAGTTTGTCACAGCTGGGGCAAGCCTGGGTCTCTTTCAATGGCCTTTTGCTGGTTTTCCAGTAATATAGGTGGGAAAAGATAAGTGAAGGCAAGTAATTTTGGGTCTTACACATGCAGGTAGGCACAGAGCTTGGAACTGGGGATAACAGCTGTTCAGAAAGGTAAATCCAGATGCTGGTTGGGAGTGAAGGCTTCAGTGGAGATGTGTAGAGAGACTGGAAATGCCTAAGGAGACTGGCAAAAGGAGCTGCTATGGAGGAGAGGAAGTACAGACAGAGAAAATAGAAGCAGAAATGGTTAACAGGGTAAAAAAAATAGATGTGACAGGAAAAAGTGATTTTGAAAGCCAAGGAGTATGGAGATAGTGATCATATGTGTAAGAAGAGTGGGACTTGAAAAAGAGAGTATGCAGTGTCAAAAGGACTTCAGTGAGAAACAGCAAGGAACTGATCCATATCCTCTGGGAAAGTGTCAGCTATCACAGATCCCAGCATGGCAGGGGTTGGAAGGGATCTCTGGAGTTCATCCAACCCCCTGCTCCAGCAGGGTGCCCAGGGTCACATCCAGGTGGGCTTGGAATCTCTCCAGAAAAGGAGACTCCACAGCCTCTCTGGGCAGTCTCATCCAGGCTCCAGCACCCTCCCAGGAAAGAATTTTCTCCTCCTGTTCAGCTGGAACCTCCTGGGTTTCCGTTGGTGCCCGTTGCCCCTTGTCCTGTTGCTGGGCACCACTGGCAAGAGTCTGGCCCCCGCCTCTTGACCCCCT